AAAATAGAACCAGATGAAGTGTACCAAACTGCAAATATTCCACGTTTGAATCATACTTATTACTTACTGCTAGCATATGGAAAAACAGTCAGTTATGGAAGTGAGAATTGAATATTTTATAAGTTTACCTTCTTCAAAACACATTCACACCAAATCATATAATTAACTGAAGAAAACAGTCTACAAGAACATTTACTGTAAAAAACAATGCTTGTAATTTTAAATTTAAAAATAAAATAGCATATATATATATAATTAAGATAAAAAGATATAAAAAAACTCATTCAAAAAACATACTTTTGAAAATATATTATTTTATTATTTTATAATTCTTTAAAAAGAATTAAAGGAAATTTAAGCTTTCGCTGTGCTAATTCTCGCATTTTTCGTTTTGGAACAATAATAATTGATGAATTTTAGCAATGGGAATTCATTCACTGGATGAGCGATCAGAAGATTTTCCAGTAGTTATTCCAACACCAACCAACATTGCAAGAAATGTACTAAAAAGTGAAAGCCAAATGACTACAGCTAAATTACCATCAAAACGACCATTAGTTATTGCGCATGGCAAGCAGACTGATTTTTTCATGGTTTAAAAGTATAACGTTCTAGTATGGTATGGTACGGTAAGGTATCACACTTCAAAGAAATGTCTCATAGCTTGGTATCATATTTGAAATTTTGACGCAAAGCAAAAGTTAATTAGCTTAATTTTTAGGTGTGCTTATGATAATTGGTTGGATGCTGTTGGTAGCAGTGGCTATTACTGCAGCTCGATATCTCAGAAATCATTGGTCAAATAGAATGCCATTTGGCTTAAAAATTTGGTTCCACGTAAGATTACGTAGTTACCATTTAATTTTATTAAAAACTGCCTTGTCACAGACTAATCTGTGATAATACGCACAAATGTGCTAGTGAATTACTGCTGACAGTCATAATATAAATTATGTACTGTTTTTTTGTCAAGATATTTTCGAGATTTTAGACTGACATAAGAAGCAGTCGAGAATTTTATTGAATGCATTGATAAAGAACAATAAGTTATTTTTTCTTGGTTTCATTACTTTTGTCTGTTTGCAAAAAATAACAAATTATAGTTTTGTTTTTTTTTTTCAATTTAAATAGTGATAATTTTCAAGCTTCAAAAAAATACACTACTCTTATTTTGATAGCTTAGCTTATTTACATTATTGCTTTTTCATTTTGTTTTCTTCATTAATTCCTGATAATAATTTACTCAGAATGATAGCCAGTTGTTTTTGCTGATACAAAGATTCATTCTA